AGGGACCTTCAAGAAGCAGCAGGGACCTCCGCAGGAGGTCCCAATAGACCAGCAGCATGGCCGGTCGTGGCCGCCGTGGGTTCACGCATGGTGTACAGCTAGCACATGGGATCAGGAACATCGCTATGAGAAATCTAGGGGCACATCCTTTGTCGATTGAGAGCTTCTTAAAGTGCCCCAGGGCGTTGCGGGCCCATCGGAAAATAAGATAATGTCGTGGAGCACCCGTTGGCAGGCTAATTTCTGATCTGAAGTGCCTACCGTATGCGCCCACCCGGCCGAGACCAAGAGGGTATACACGCCATCACAGGTCCCTGGATGGCCCGGGCCAGGAACGGTGATGTCGTGTATGGTACCTCCCGCGGACAGTAGACCATGAAGGCCAGCCAAATGGGGCTGGACCAGACGAGCGACGACGAAAAATAGGCAGCACCATGTGAACCCTACTCGTGCAGAACAGATTTCTCTGGAACGCCAGCCGGGGTTCAGAATCCGAAGCATGTCTGCAGCCACGTGAACCGCAGCGGGGGTCAAGCCCTTCGTCGGCTGGAGCCGCAGGGGTAGTGTTCGCAAGTGGCCGCAGAAAAAGATAATGCTACGGTCGGAAACGTTTGCTCAGCGTGTCGCCGCGGCGGCCCCGGCGACACGCCATACCCTGCAAGCGGATAGCGTGTCGCTCCGCTCCGCGGGGCGGGAGGCTGGGAAAGGCTCGTGACGTCGACGCTTGGGGACCCCGAAGCGGATAGCTTGTCGCATCCCAGCGTGTGGTGGGTGAGGACAGGCGGAGCGACACGCTATGAAACCGTTCCTGACACTATGACCCCGCGTCGACTGGACTCGCGGGTGTAGCGTTCGCAAGTGGCCGCAAACAAAAAGGTCTTACGCACGACGGTAAAGCCGCCTACACGCAGGAGTGACCCTAACCAGGGTAAGTATTGGGAAACAAAACATCAAACAGGGGGTAAGTAATTAGTCCGGCGACCTTATTGAAGGACTGGGGTCACACCAACTGGGGGGTCACTAATCCCACCAGCCCTTTAGGGCGTAAGGTTGTTTAAAGACTGTCCTCTTCCACCCCTCCTACTTCCCCTTCGGGGAGGGGGTTATCATTGTTCCCTATTAGTATACACCCCTTCCCCCAGGCGACTGGGAGCCAACCAGGAACAATGCGGGCACCCCCCCACCATCCCTTGTAAAAAACAATACAAACACACACTCTGCCTCCGAATTCGGAGCATGCGCAGCCAACCCGATGCGCCTCCCCCCACAATCCCTGTCAAAAAGCAATACAGAGTACACTTGGCGGCGGCGGCGGCTGCGGCGGCTGCGGCGGCGGCAGCGGCTGCGGCGGCTGCGGCGGTGGCGGCGGCGGTGGCGGCGGCGGCGGCGGTGGCGGCGGGGGCGGTGGCGGCGGCGGCGGCGGCGGCAGCGGTGGCGGCAGCGGCTGCGGCGGCAGCGGCTGCGGCGGCGGCGATTCGGCAGCGGGGGCGGCGGCAGCGGCGGCGGCGATTCGGCGCGGCGGCGGCGGCGATTCGGCGCGGCGGCGGGGGCGGCGGCGATTCTGCGCGGGGGCTGGCGGCGGCGAGGCAGAAACATCCGGGATGGACAAAACACATCGTCGGAGATATGGCTTGCTCGTCGGCCCTAGCTCTGACCTCTGGCAATCCACCGGGGCGATCCTGGCGCCTTCGGAGCGCTCTCGGCGAGGCGCAACTGCTGGGAAGCATCCTGGAGCGTGGCAACCTCCAGGAACCGATGAGAACTCCCGAACACGTGCAACATACCTATGGGTTCCTCCAGGCATGCTCGGATGACCGCGGGGTAGGGGGCTAAGAGGACTGGGGGTTCTACATGGATGCGTAAGTTATGCCTGGCCCAAACTAGCTTCTGAGTCGACTGCAAGTGCCCTGCGTAAGCGGCCCACGGGAGGCAGAGATCTGGCCTAAGCGGGCGGAACCCATATACTGCAGTTACCGAACCATTGTAATTAAGCAAGTTCGGGCATCTGTATCCCGCTCAAAAGCTGAGCCAGGCCAGACATAACTCGCCTTCACATCCAGTTGTAAACCCCTACGGTCAGGAATGTTTGCTCAGCGTGTCGCGGCGGCGGCTCTGGCGACACGCTATGCTTGCTAGCGGATGGCGTGTTGTGCCACTTCGCGGGGCGGGCCCCTGGGAAAGGCTCGGGACATTGACGCCTGGAGATCGGGCAATGTGTAGCGCGTCGCGCCGAGGCGTGCTGGGCCAGAACCAGCGGAGCGAAAGCCAAAACTCCTGCCACTTACCCCTTTTAGCATCCACCACGAACATCCAAGTGAGGGGGTCCCGGCTCCTTCTCCAGGCTCAGCGCGTCCAGCGCCGCGCGGCACCGTAGGATGCAACGCAGGGGCAGGTGACCGAAGAGGTCGAAGCGGAAGCCGTCGACGCCGTACTCCTCCCAGGGAGAGGGAGCCAGGGGCAACGATAACGGGGGCACGGGCTCAAGGGGGGGACGCATCGACACCTAAGCGCTCATTCGTCGCCGAAAGTAGATGGCGGCATCCGAACCAAACTACCCACACCAACCATGGATCTTCCTGAGTCGATGGGGGGCGGGGGTAGAAGTGTCTGAATCGTCGGCAGGCGAGGAAAAGGTGCAGATCTCGCCAGCGAGATCGGGGACCCGATAACCCGCCCCGCCCAGGAACGCGCGGATTCGCACTCGGGGGCTCGTCGCCGATCGATCGGCGATGCATCGCCGATTGCAGCTCTATGGCTCCTCCCCTGAAATTGTTTTCCCAATCGTTGACCTCACGGGAAATGGGGGGCGAGGGGCTGCCGCCTCTGACGCGCCAAAGTTGGAGGGTGATAGTGGGGGTTGGGCGCAGGGTCCCGGCAATGGTGTCTCTATGGGCCATGCGTGGGCGATACATCCTCGATTGATGTGTTCGTCGGGGAAACCAATTCAAGCTCCCCACCTGCATCCATGCGCGAGACTTGCAAGTAAACAAAGCAAAGAGGCGGAGGGCTCGGGAAAGGCGACGAAAGCGACGTGTGCTGAGGGCGCAAAAAGAAATGGTGGGAGTAAACGAAAGAGGAGAGGTGAGTGTCAAAATCTGCCCAGCCAATCTGACATGCGGAACACTGCGCCTCCCTTATGGGGATTTGGAGGGCCAGGGCATGATGTGATTTCACTTTGTGGGGAAACGCAACATGTGAATCCACATTTGGGGAACAATGAAAATGTGAATTTACATGTTGGGAAAAGGAACGCGTGAATTCACATTTTGGAATTGTGTATAGGCATCTTTATGAAGGGACCGGAATGTGAATCCAAATGTTGGGGCACAAGGAAAATGTGAATTCACATTGTGGAGAAAAGAATGCCTGCGACTGTACGTGTTGGGGAAATCGCGGGACCCATTCCAAATCTCCTTTGGGGTTTGACACGTCATCGTTTTGGGAACGCACGCGATCATTAATCGCACAATCAAGACGCAATTGCGCTCCATTTCGCCGCCCCAAGCGCGATGTGAAAGAGCGCCCGCACGCACGAACGATAATGGATGGACGACGCGTTTGCCAGCTCGGGCAACGCGCGGGCACGAGCTACTGGCCCTCCACGACCGCCAAAATTGGATGCCAATCGTGCCCGATCACGTACATGAGCGATATTTTGAGCACACATGGGCCATTCAACCCCCATTGAAGACCCACTCTCGCAGACTCCATCTTTCGCCCTCCAACAAAGGCCGATGGGTTTCCCCGCGCCCGGCCACCCGGGCCGATGGGCTGTTCTCACGCCTGCGCGCGCCATCGGCGCCTTGGCGCGCACCGCGCCCGTCGCGTCCTTGGGGGGAAACAACTGCAATCGCTGGGGGCTGCGCACGAACGCGGAAGCTAGCCGGATCACGGGGGGGACGAACTGGCAGCGCTCTCCACTCCCCACCCTTCCACGGCGGTCTCCTTGAGCGCGCTTCCCGCACGGCCTGCTTCCGACTTGCCGTCCAGGTTGTCGCCGAAGGCCTGCTCATGCACCCATCGGGCAGCACCTTCTCGTCATTCTGCTTCGCGGCCGTGGCCCCCCACCACTCCTCGACGCACCTGCCCGGCGGCGCGCGCGCGACCTGCCCGGCGGGGTCGAGGTCTGAGTGGATCGCGTCAAGCGCATGCGAGGACACGCGCCCGCGCCCGCGCACTGGCTCGGCCACGAGCCTCGCCTCCTGCATTCCCTGGTGCGCGAAGCCGCTGACCCCCCCGCCCCGCATCTTCATGGGCAGGATGGCCGAATGCGAAATTCGAAAATCGGCTCCCCTTTGTCGAACTGCAACTGGCCTTGCTGTTAGTCGTGCCTGGCTCGGCCTGCTTGCGCCCCTTGCCGCGGGGTCGATCCACCTCCAGCTCGGGCAGCCCGGTGCCCCCCAACCTGCGCCCTCCCTCCTCAGCGACGCCGCCGCTGATTCGGAGGACGGCCTGCTCGGCGTCGGCGACGTGCATTCTGGGCCCCAGCTGCCAGCCGCTCTTGAGGTCGCGCGCCGCCTCCACCGCGGCGCCCAGGCACTCGCCCCCGTCGTCGGCGCCATCTCCTGGCTGGCGTCGTCGACGCGCCCTGCGATTCCGACCTCGTTAGGTGTGCAAAGTCAGAGCCATAATTTAATCATTTTTGTGTGTGTCTGTGTGTCTTTGTGCTTTTTTGTGTTATTTTTTATGTTCCGTCCAGTTTTTTTGTGTTTTTTGTGTGTGGGTTTGTGTTTTTTTGTGTTTTTTTGGTGCGGGAGGAATCTGCCGCGGTCGATCGCCCAGGAGGGTTCGACTGCCGCCCCGGCGCGGATCGCCCCCGCCAAGGTTCCCTTAAAAGGGGGAGCTTAGGCGTGGGCTTTTCCCGCAGGCGCCCCCGCTCGCCTGGGAGGGCGCGGGGGGTCCTGGATCGCCTGGGGGGGGGGGGGGGTCCAGGACGGGCCGACTCGCCCTGGCGGGGGTCGGTCCGGGCGGTGGAATCGCCCGGGGGGGGTCTCCGCCACTCAGTGCCTGCACGAGTCGCCAGGGGTGGTCTCGCGCGGGAACAGCCCTCGCGCATCGCCCAAGGGGGTCCCACGGGGGCGAGGTAGCCCGGGGGGGCGCCTGGGAGGACAGTGCACGGCGCGAAGGGTTCCCGCAAATCTTTCGCGGGACTCTCGCGAATTCGTCGCGGGGGGCCCGGGCTCTCGCGAATTTTTAGCGGGAGGCGCAACGGTCTGGACAGTCGCGCAGGGGGGGGGGGGGCGAAGAAGAGAGGAGGGGAAGTCCGATGCCAAAGCCTCGAGGGCCACCTCCGGAGCCAAGCGAACGACGGACAATTGGAGCAGGGAGCGGCTAAGGATAGAGAAGGGGGGCGAAGGATAGGAGCCGGAGGGGAGCGCGAGCGGCGCACCGAGGAGCAGAAGCGGAGAGAGAGGCAGTTCTCCCGTTGATCACGCCAAGAGAAGGGCGAGGTTGATGACGAAATTCAGGCTCTGACTTTGCACACGTAAACCTCGGGTCGCGCCGCGGCCCGGGCAAACGCCTCGCCCGCGCGGCGCGCCCCTGCGCGGCGCGCGCGGCCGAGAAGCACCCTGCCGCGATGCCCTCCCCAGGGCGCGCGCCATCTCCCGCCGCGCATTCGAGCGCGAGGGCGCGCCTCCACCCGGGCGCCCCGGGGGGGGCCCTGAGGGCGCGGAAGGGAAGGAGCCCTGGGCGCCCGAAGCGGCGCAGGACGTCGCGCGAGACCTCATCGACGGCCGTCGCCGGGCCCCGCGGCTGGGCGAGGGCGCCCCCCCCCCCCCCCTTCGGAAGCGCCCTCCGCCTCGACCGCAGCTCGCCGCGCGCAGTCCGCGACCTCGCAGGGGCAAGTCGCCGCGCGCAATCTGCGACCTCGCGGGGGGGGCCTGGGTTGAAGGCCGCGCTCGCCAAGCGCGCGGCGCGGGCCCTTGACGCGCAGGAAGGGGGGCAGAGTGACCTTGGGCCACGAAGCTCGACGCTTGGCCTTCAGCGGAGCTGGGCGGGCTAGTCTGTTCTGGGCGCGCTCCGCGGCGCCGTGCGCGACCTCGGCGGCGCCTTCGCCCGGGCCCTCGGCCCACTTGCGCAGCGCCCCCCCCCCCCCCCCCCCGCCCTCGTCGGGCGGCCCTCAGCCAGCGCGCCCCTCCAACTCTGGACCTCCTCGCCGCGCTCGAGCCTGCCGGGGGCCGCCTTGCCCACGCCCCCCGCGAACTTGGCCGCGAACTCCGCCTCGCCGACCGCCGCGCGCGCCGAACGCTGGCGCTGGCCCCGCGGCGCCCCCCGCAGGCTCGACGATGGCCTCGATCTGGCTCAGCACTGCGTTAGTCCACACAATCATCGTAGTCAACGCACTTGCGGCGCGAGCTGCCGATCCTGCCCGCGCGCCCGATGGCGCCGCGGCGCCCCGGGACAGCTCCTCGCAGTTATTGTCCGTATTTGTCAGGCCAGCACATGCAGGCGCGGCAGCTCGTTGGTTCTGCGAGCTGCATGGCCAATCCCTCGACCAACCGCTGCTGCCCCGCTTTCCGAGCGAAGGCGCGCCCTGGCGCCGGCTTGCCGCTGGCGCTGGTAGCCGAGACCTCGGGGAGGGAGGCTGCCTGAAGCAGATGAGCCCGCCCATTTGTACTGGAAATTGCCCCCCCCCCCGCTGGCCCCTCCCCTGGTTGGTCTCGTCCGCGCCGATGATGTCACGGTAGATATGAACGAGGCTCTACCTGGGTGCTCGTCCAGCCTGCAAGCTCATGCCGAGGACCAACGGGCAAGGTGGTTGGGATATGTGGCATACTGCACGGTATTTGCGCCATTGGCCAATCGATCTTCTGCTCGAGCGGAACTCACATACGTGGGTCGCAAGCCCAAACGACGCGATCCGCACTCGGCTGGCGCAGCGCAGAGCCGATCCCCCCTTCCCTTGACAAAGCAATCCCTGATGTAGTCCGTGCCGCTTGAGCGGTGTCGCGTGGTTGTGTCACGCACGCCCACTGTTACTCCTGGGGTTTGGCAGACTGCGACGCTGACCACCTCCTCGGGGTCCATGTTCCAGTCCGCGCCCATGATCATGGGCAGGCCATGCCCAGCTTGGCACTCTCGCAACGCGTACAATACGTCGAGGCTGCCGCCATTCAGGCCGACGTGCACCTCTAGGCACGCAGCGTACAAGGCCAGACGCCAAGTCTTGACCGTAGCACACACACACACGCTCTAACTGCCCAGCGAACCTGGACCTGTGAATCGTACCCGAAATCGATGTGTTTGTTTGTCAGGGCTGCTGCTCCACCCTGCATCTCCAGGAGCGACAAGCCGATGCTCATCCTGAGTAGCGCGGGGAACACCCTTCCCCAGAGTCGCCCACGAGACTGCTTGAGTTCTTGCACCAAGCCAACGCCATCGCCCAACAAAGGCCCTGACCCCCATGACACGACGTTGGTTTTGACACACATGTGACGTGTTTTTCAAGACAACGCTGTGCTCTTATTCCGAATCGCTGTCAATAAAACGTTTGCTTGCCATGCCGTGCTTCTGGTCAAAGACTCCGCTACCGCTCCTTGGCCACGCTCAGGCGCTGTACAAGGTGCGAGGTCTTCGCGGGCCCCCTTGCTGCATTCGGACATGCACGCCTTGAGGATGCATTCGGGATCGTTGTCCTCGAGCTTGTCATCCTCGCATGGGAGTGGGTATGATCTCGCCACCTTTGCCGGCCGACGATTTCGCATTGGCATCCGGTGAACAGAAGCCACCCACGTCTGATGCTTGGCGAGCAGTTCGGCGGCCACGCTGACCACCTCAGGTCCCAAGCTGCTTGCTTCGAAAACCATTGCCAAGAACTTGGTTGCATTCTGCTCGGCGTCGGCGGTAGGCCCTGACACTCCCAGCGACATGGTCCGTACCATGGCTTGTTCGAGATAGACAGGGGCTTGAGCCAAAATTGCTACAGACGCGATGGGGGGGGAAGGGAGGCGGAGAGGGAGGGAGGGAGGGAGCAGGATCGAGGCCAGGAGAACAAGGGTGGGAACAAGAAAGCGAAGGATGATGATGATGCTGATGATGATGAGGAAGAGGAAACATACAACATTGCAAAAAAGGGGGCATGTTAAGGATGCAAGCTCGTTGGACGCCCAAGCCGAAACCTTTTTAGCAGTGCACGGCCCAAGCCTGAGCCTAGCAGTGGGGCAGACCCAAGGATTTGCCGGCAAGCTACTCGGCATTGCTGCGAGCTCCGACTGCAGTAATACGCAGCTGCGGGGCAGCCGAATGATGCCCATGCTCGATTACAAACATACGCTAAACCCGCGAAGGGTCCTTTGCCCAGTGGACCACGCTGTCCACTACGAGCCGCTCCATCATAGCCCGCTCCCCGGCCGTGTTGTTCATGCAGGTCGAGTTCTCGTACTGGCCCGACTCGGAGCGCCGGTGGTAATACCTCAGCGGGGGTGGGCACCGTCGCCCTTGGCAAGCCCGTCCAAAGGGCGGGATCCTCCTCGTCTACCTCCTCCTCCTCCTCCTCCTCCTCCTCCTCCTCCTCCTCCTTCACCTCCTCCTCCTCCTCATCATCATCCTTCCCTCCACCCATCCATCTCTCCTCCGTCCCCATCGGGGATGACCCGCTCAGCCTCTCTCAGTCCATCTCTCCCTCTTCCCCAGGGGGGATGACCCGCCCAGCCTCTCTCCCTCTTCTGCTTCCCTGGGCCCTTCGGCATCGACACCTGGACCTCGTCTGGGGCGAGCTCTGACCAGCACTGCGAGGCGGGTGCGGCCATGGCGACGAGGGCCCCCCAGAGGCGACATGCGTGAAATCCCTATTCCTCCCCAGAGGCATCCGACATCTCAGAGGAGAACCCATCGGAGGGAGGCCGACCCTGGGCGGTGGCACGCCTGAGCGCCGCTCGGTACCGAGTGGCCCTCGGGCGTGCCACCGCTGACACCGCATAGCCTGAACTGCTTGCTCAGCTCACACCACGTAGACTACACCGCACAGCTGCCACCTCCGGCGCTCACACCACACAACTCACACGGCACAGTTTCCACCACTTTGTTGCCACCGCACAGCTTGCATCCTCGCACGTCTACAGACAATGCGCCTTTGGGAGGACATGCTGGCAAATATTTACACACACAACTAATTCTGCATCCATGTATACTGATGTATAGCATCTGCTCAAACTCGGCTAGACGGAAACAGCACCCCGCCCAACGGCTCGTTTCGGACCCCACGCGTACCGAAGCCGACCCACCCCCACCACCAGAACCCAAGCATCACGCAGGAAAGCCACCGTCCCCCCCCGAGCGATCCGACCACTCACGCCTGCTGCGCAGCTCGAAGCAGCTCCCCCCAGTCTGCCCCCATCAAAGATCCGACGTCTTGGTTTTTCCCGGTCAGGGTCCGTGGAAAGCTCCTACCCTCTCCCCAGGGCAGGCTCTGCATCCTAAGTCGTTCTGGCATGGTCCAGGGGCCCGCCGGAGGCCTCCAGAGGCTCAACACGGCGAACAAAAACATATGTCCTGAGTTCTTCAGGACGCCGGATCCCTATACGCCTCCTAGATGGGGTCCGAGTAGATGGGGTCGGAGGATCGCGTCGCATCGGCAATGCATCGGCGATGCATCGGCAATGCATCGGCGATGCATCGGCAATGCATCGGCGACGTCGGCGACGCATCGGCGACGTCGGCGTCGAGAACATCGGGCTCCGAATCGAGCCGCATCGGCGATGCATCCACAATGCATCGCGATCCTCCGACCCCATCTACTCCGATCCCATCTAGGAGGCATGGAATCCCTGAGCCCCCTTCAGAGGCCTCCCAAATGGGGCCCGACTAGATGGGGTCGGAGGGTAGCACCGCATCGCCGCTGCACTGGCGACGTCGGCGACGCATCGGCGCTGTCGGCGTGGATAAAGGGGCCCAGGGGCACACATACGTACACACAAATAACAAGATTCCCCATGTTTTCCTCTATTTGTTGGATCGTCGTCTTCCCCCCACTTCCCATAATTAGTTTCGCATAAGTTCCGGGGGGGCATCGACGATGAATTGTGTCTGTGTGTTTTTGTCCCCTCCTGAGTGGAGAAGCCTCCTCGAGGAGGGACCAAGAGGGGGGTGTCCAAGAGGGGGGGTGCAAATCCTGACTGGCGGCACGTGCGCGGCCCAGCGGTGGGGCCAGGGACGCAACGAAACAAGAAGAGGCGCCACGAAATCTGAGGAAATATCATGGCCCCCGCCATGATATCCACCCCCCCCTAGTCTTAGGTCGGGCGTGTCCCCCTACAGGAGATTTTCAGCGAAGAAACAAAAAAACCTCAACACATGCCCCTAAATGGCCCGAAAATATACAAAATATTGTCCCCAGACAATTTTCCTTGACTGTTTTTGAATACCCCCCCTGTAGAGGGACGGGCCCGACCTAACCCTAGTCTTTGGACGCCCGAAATGGGTACGGAAAGAATGGGTACAATGCCCAACAACAAATGTCGTCCCAAACCAACAGCGGCCGCTGTTGGGCAGGCGGCCTTCTGTCTCAAATGCACACACACGCCGCGGCGGCGCGGACAGCGAGTCCTGTTCAAAGTCAACAGGAACTGCTGTATGGCATTGTACCCATTCTTCCCGTACTCCAGATTTCGTAATAAAGGGAGGGGGGTCTCATTTCGGGGGGGGTCTCTTCCAGGCTATCTTGGAGGGCCTGGGGGGGTCTGGGGACGATGTTTTGGAGGGTTCTCCCACGGGGGGGGGTCTGAAATGGCTTGTCTTGGAGGGTCCAGGCCCCCTCCCTTTTATGACAAAATCTGGAGTACCCATGCCGGTCGTCCCGATAGTCATCACCCTCCTCTTTGCCGCCCCCGAGGCCTCGATGGGGAGGGCGAGCCGCGCGGCACCCCGGGACGCACTTGTCCAGCACGCTGTGAGGGCCCGCGGGCCCGCTGCCCAGCGTGTGGTTGTCCGAGGGCCCCCGCTCTCCCGCGGGGGCGGCCGGGCCCGTGAGGGCGGCTGCTATGCGGCCCGGCCGGCTGCGGCCGGGAACCGTTGGAGGAGGAGGAGGAGGAGGAGGAGGAGGCGGAGGAGGAGGAGGAGGAGGAGGAGGAGGAGGAGGAGGAGGAGGAGGAGGAGGAGGAGGAGGAGGAGGAGGAGGAGGAGGAGGAGGAGGAGGAGGAGGAGGAGGGAGGAGAGGGAGGACGAGGGCGCGTAGCGCCGCGGCGGCCCCGAAGCCACGCCATGGGCCCTACGACGGGACAGCGCCTCGCTCCGCGCCGCGGGGCGGGAGGCCCGGACAAGGGCGGCACGTGGACGCCTCTCGGCTCGCGGGCGCCTCGGCCGCGCAGCGGACAGCGCGCCGCGCCGCAGCGCGTGGGGCCAGCACCGGCGGAGCGGCACGCCATCCAACGGTTCCCGACCGTGACCCAGCCCCCTGCAGGGCAGCCTTCAAGTCCCACCGGCCCTCTGGGCGTGAGTGGTTACGCGCGTGTCCTCGTCCATGTCCCCCATCTCCCCGGGGAGGCGGTTGCCCCAGCGTCACGCACATGGGGTCGGTTTGGGTTTCCGGTAGCTGTCCATCCATAGACAACCGCCGAACATGCTGAGGCATGGATGCTACCCATGTGTTGGGAGGGCGTGTGGGAGTGAGACAGACAGCTTGCGGCCGGGGAGGGTGTTTTGATTACTGCTCCCTATTCATGAACACCTCCTCTCCCGGGCGACGGGCAGCCGACCTGGACCAATGAGCCCCCCCCACCACCAGTGACAAAAAACCATACAACATGCACTTTGCCTCCAACTCTGGCGCATGCGCTGGCGCCCTGCGACCACTGCGCAGCGGCTTTTTCGCAAGCACGGCGGGGGGGCCGGCACACCGCCTGCGGCGCGCAGACCAGCCACCCCTGGAGGGGGAGGGGGACAGAGGCCAGCTCCACGACACGGACCCTCCCCTCGAAAACGGCCGAGTCGCGAGACACCGCCCCTACACCACGTCCAGCACCACCCGCAGGCCCTTGTCGTGCAGCGCGGCCACCATCGCCCGGTGCTCGGACCTGTGCGGGGGCCGCGGCGCCCCCGGCGCCCCAGGGAGAGGCCCCCCGCGGCCCCGCGTGGGGGCCCACGCGCGTGGGGCCCCCCTCGGGGCCCCCGACGCCCACGGAAACACAAAGGACCACGGCGGCAGCATCGCGCGAGGGATTGGCCCGAGTCGACCAGTGAGCATCGTTTGACCGGCCCCTGACCCCATCGGCGTGACCTGGGCCCCACTAGCCGATTGACCCCCCACCCCAGATATGGGGTGTAGGCCGTCGTCCTCGGGTGTCGAAGAGTATATGTCCCCAACTGGGGTGCTGAGATGGACGGGGGTCCGGATGGGGACGGCTGGGGATGGGGGTCGGTTGAACGATACTCAACCAATGGAGGTTCCAGAATTATACAGCTCCCCCCCTCCTCTCCTGGGCGAGGGTTCGAAGGGAGCGCTGGGAGATGGTGGGGGTCTGGATGGGAGCGTGTAAACGACATTCAACCAATGCGGGTTCCAGAAATATACCGATCAGCATTTTATGGACGCCTAATCCTTTGGGATGGGAACCTACGTTAGGAGGGCCGAAAACAGTAAGGAGATGGGTCTGTTCTACAGATGTATCGAACCGCACCGCCCACATCTTTTATCCCTCATGCAAAGACGGGGACCTCATTGAGGCCGTGTCTTCACTGATGATTTGGGTTTGGGATTGTGTTGTTCTCGATGATCTGCAGCTCTCCCCTTCTCTCTCCTGGGTGGGGGGGCAGCGCTCCCAGCGGCAAAAGATTTACTACGCTTTCCCCCACGGGTTGACGTCGCCATCGGGTATTCACCTCTAGAGAGAATACAGTTGTTGCTAACATAGGGAGACGCCTCCAGACTCTTTTGCCTCGACGATGACTACAGATTCTTGGAAAGCGAGGCTCCCGCTCGAGCGCGGGATGGAGGACAAATCTCGGTTGTTCAAGCAACGGTTCTAGCTCGATGCTGCCTCATACTTTCCTCCGAGACGCCCTGGCCAGAGAGACCCCCACACTCAGAAACGATACTCTCGCTCGAAACTTCTTCGCATTGCAATCAAGTTGGCGACTGCCCGGCTACGACTACAACGGTTCCCGCTGGATACTTCCTCACACTTTGCTCTGAGACGCCCTGGCCAGAGAGGCCCCCGAACCCAGGAACGGCGCTCTCGCTCAAGGCCTCCTCGCAATTCAGGAAGGTTGATGATGACGACACAAAAGCGACGACAGCGGTTCCCGCTCGAGACGTCCTCACAATGTACTCCGGGTCGCCCTCGCCAAAGAGGCCGCCAAGCCCGGAAATGGCGCTCTCGACCGAAGCTCCCTCGCTATTCAATCATGTTTGCGACGGGCCGGCTGCGACAACAACGGCTCCCTCTAGATGCTTCCTCGCACTCTGCTCCGAGACGCCCTTGTCACAGACGCCCCCGAAACCAGGAACGGCGCTCTCGCATCTCGAGCATACTGTCAAGTCGGGCGTGTCCCCCTACAGGAGGATTTTGAACGAAAAATAAAAAATACTCAAATACCCCCAGATGGTCAAAACATACTCAAACATAGTCCCCAAACTATTTTTGACTATTCTTAAATGTTCCTCCTGTAGAGGGACAGGCACGACTTAAGCATAGAGTACACCGCTGAAAGCTTCTCCCAGGGGATGGCATGACAGTCAGCGGGGAGAACACAGGTCAGAGCACTTCGCGGGATCACCTGCTCGCAGCATGGTGGTCGTCGTTGTCGCGGTTGTCGGCGTCGTCGATCGTCGTCACAGAAGTGCGAACCACCACGACCACCACGACCACCCCGTCAGGATTGCACGCTGCTTGTTGCCCGATGTCGACGCAGGGGCATCTGGCGATCCTGGACCGCCTGTGCATGCATGCCCTTCGCCCCAGAAACAAACAGCAGTCTTGAACTTGCGTTGCACGCAAAATCGGCTCTGGGCAAGAGTGGCCTTCTGGGCGTAGCTCGAAGACCGCTGAGGGCGATGCGACAGTGGCATTCTGCGAAAACCGCGTACCAAAGGTCACTCCAACGAGGGCTCCTTCGTACGCGTGGCCAGCCGAAGGCCCCGGAACATCCCAGAGGACCGAGATGAACGGGGCCGTCGAAGGACTGGGCCGATTCATGCTTCCTGTGGCTTTGCGGAACAGCGCTCCGCCAGGCAAGAAATCCTGCCCTCCCTCCCTCCCTGCGACCTCCCTTCCTCCCCCCGTCCTTCTCTCTCCCCCTCCCTCATCCCCCCCTCCTCACCACTTCCCTCCTCCTTCTCTCTCTGTCTTTATGTCTTCATGTATCTCTCTCTCTCTCTCGTTCTCTCTCTCTCTCTCTCTCTCTCTCTCTCTCCCCCTGCATCTCTCCACCCTGCTCCCTTCCTGTTTCCCCCCCCTCTGTTCCTTGCCCCTGCTGCACCGCCTCGGCAGTCGCCGGCATCCTCGTGGCCTCCTCGAACAGCATTCTGCTGCAGCTCACGCGCCGTGGCGCAGCCCCTATGCGGGCTCCTCATGCTGCCGCCCACATACCGTGGTTCCGCATATCCTGCTGGCGCCGGCCCTCCGCAGCAAAGCCCGACGCTCCCGGCAACGCGACGGGCAACTGGATGCTCCCGCTCCCGAAACCCCGTGGGACCTCCTGATGAGTATCGTTTAACCGATCCCCATCCCCAGAAGCGTGAAGAGCAAGGTGAACCAGCACATCAGGTCAGGATCCTTCAAACGATCCCTGTCCCCATCCTCATCCCCATCCCCTTCGAGAACTCCACCGGATTACCACCCCAGTTGGGGATACACCCCTCGAAACCCGCAGGGAACGACCTATATCCCCATCCAGGGGGGGTAAATCGGCCAGTGGGGCCCCGGCTCCGGTCCCCGAGAGGGGGGCCGAGCTGCCCTCCCGAGTCCACTGCCAGGCCGCTGCAGCCCCGGCCGGGCGCCACGGCGCGCTCCAGCGGAGCTTCTTCCAGCCGCGAGTGCCCTAAGCCTCCCACCCATCTGAAGGGGCCCTGGGACACACAAAGAAATACACACAAATCACAGGACTCCCCATATGTTCCTATATGCTCTGGGTTTTTGTCTTCCCTCCCACTTCCCATATTTTCCTACAGTATGCTTTCCTGGGGATGGACGATGAGTTGTGTCTGTGTATGTTTTTCCCTCCTGACCATCCTCCGCGGCCGCTCCCCCTCCTGCGCGCCCCCGCTCCCTGCTGCTGGACAACTCATGCGTCGAGCGCCCCCGGCAACTCGAGCGCCCGTGCGGAGGGCCCCTGACGTGTCGCGGCGAGAAAAATCGTCCGCCCTCCTGCCGACGCTGCCTCCTCCACCTCCCTCCTTCCTCCGTGCTCGACCCTCCTCCCTCTCCTCCTCCTCCTCCTCCTCCTCCTCCTCCTCCTCCCTCCTCCTCCTCCTCCTCCTCCTCCTCCTCCTCCTCCTCCTCCTCCTCCTCCTCCTCCTCCTCCTCCTCCTCCTCCTCCTCACCGTCAAGATCTTCATGCTCCTCCTGCTGTTCCTCCTTTCCTGCTCCACCTCCGTCCTGCCATCTGCGGTCGGGAACGTTTGCTCAGCGCGCCGCAGCGGCGGCCCCCGGAGGCACGCTGCGCCGGTGCGCGCGGGCATAGCGTGCCGCTCCGCTCCCCAGGGCGGCGGGCTCGGAGAGGGCGCGCGGCGCGGACGCCTCGGGGCTGGGACGCGGAGGGCCTGCCACGCCACAGCGTGGCGGGCTCCAGCCGGCGGAGCGACACTTGGCGGCGCGCACAAGGGGGTGGGGGGAGGGGGGAGGGCTTCTCAGAAGGAGGCTGCTTCTTAGAAGGCGCCGGCCTTACATCTATAGAGAAGGCCCGCGCCTCCTAAGAAGCAGGGGTGCTCCTAAGAAGGCTTCCCCCCTCCCCCCACCCCTCTGCGCGTGGCTGAGACACGCTGAGCCCAAACTCCTGGCGCACAGGGGTGCAGGCTGCAGAAGCACAAGTGCTCCGAGGCTCGCGCGGAATTCTTCTTGGATCTGCGCTGGGCCCCCTCCCTGGCGCACGGAGCGCGCCGGGGGCGGCGCCGCCAGGGGGGCCGAGCGCTGATCCAAGAAATCCGTGCGGAACTGCGAGAGTTCTTGCACTGAAGGGGTCCCAGCGGAAGTTGAAAGCTTTGGCGAAAGTTTCCCGCCGATTTTGGTAGCAAGCTGGGTTCCCAGGTTCCCGGTTCCGGGTTCCCGGGTCCCCAGTTAGTGGTTCCGGCCCGATTTCGGTGGGTTCTGGGTTCCCGGGCTCCAGGTTCCCGGTCAATCTCCTCAGCGAAATCCATCCACTAATTGGGGCTTTTCTCTAGTGTAATTTACGCGTATGCCTTTTGCGGGGGAGCAGAGCCAATATCAGTGACACGCCTCCCTGGGGAACCAATCAGCGTGTTACATACTGTTGCAGAAACAAAATGCTTTCGGCCAAAAGCGAAGAGGCAGCACGCCGACGGGCTCTTCTACGGTGGGGCGTGGTGTCCTTGACACTTGCTCTCCCTGCCGATGTCGCTGCTCTTCGACGACGGTAAGTAAAGAAGGAACAGTGGCACAAGCATAAAACTCGGAGGTCCGCGCGAATTGCTGGGATCGGCACTGGACCCCTTCCCTGGCGCGCGGAGCGCGCCAGGGGCGGCGCCGGAGGCGCCGCCGGGGGGCCCCCCGGCGCGGATTCGAGGAATCCGCGCGGACCTCCGAGTTCTTACGTTTATGTCATCCTTCGTTCCCCTATGGTATGAGCCCGAGGAACTTGCCAAATAGTCGTCGGGGGTCAGCAGGACTTCCTTTGGCACAACGGTGTTTGGTGAGAGCTGCCATGGGGCCCTCCACGTGCGCACGGCATTCCACATGCCGAGCGCACCCCCGCGGGGCTATAGCTCATCGACGTCCGAGAGAACCACCGAGTGCATCCCGCAGGACGCACGTCGATTCGCAAAACCGAGTGGAGACTGGACCAACACGGGAACAAGAACTGGCATGAGACATAAACATAAAAACTCGGAGGTCCGCGCGGATTCCTGGGATCGGCACTGGGGGGCCTCCCGTCGGCGCCTCTGGCGCCGCCCCTGGCGCGCGCCGCGCGCCATGGAGGGGGGGTCCAGCGTGGATCCAAGAATTCCGCGCGGACCCCTGAGTTTTTCTGTTCATTCTACTATTCGTTCCCCTAACCAATGTACTCGAACCCCACTATTGAGTGAACCCGTGCAGAGTTCCTCCGTCGACTTGGTTGGGGGGGGACTCTGTAAATGCTCGAGCATATGCACCTGACCTTTGTACCCTCCCGTTGGAGGCGGCTGGGAGGTTCTGTCTGAACTTGCTGGAACTCTGAAAATCATGGGGGACGCGGCCGGGGCCTGACACTGGCCCCATCTGGAGGCCCCGCGCAACAAAACTCACCCTGCCCGAACCGGTCAGCTCGACCCTCTCCACCCCCCTCCTGCTGGGCGGAACCGGTGCTGAGACACCTCCAACCCCTAGCCGGCTCTCGTCGGCGCCGTCGCCGTCGCCGCCGCCGTCGTCGTCGCCGTCGTCGTCGTCGTCGTCGTCGTCGCCGTCACAGTCGTCGTCGCCGTCGTCGCCGTCGGCGTCGCCGTCGCCGTCGCCGTCGCCGTCGCCGCCGCCGTCGTCGTCGTCGTCGTCGTCGTCGTCGTCGTCGTCGTCGTCGTCGTCGTCGTCGTCGTCGTCGCCCGCTGAGGCGCTGAGCCCCGTCCCGTATGTGAGTATTGTTAATCCGAACCCAACCCCAGCGGCGTGGCCTGGGCCCCACTGGCCGGTTTACCCCCCCTGGATGGGGATATGGGCCGTTCCCCTCGGGCTTCGAGGGGTGCATCCCCAACCGGGGTGGCAACCTGGTGGGGGTCTCGAAGGGGACGGGGATGGGGATGGGGATCGGATAAGCGATACTGGGTATGAGCACCTCCAGCCCCCCAGCCGGCTCTCGCCGGCGCCGTCGCCATCGCCGTCGCTGTCGCCGTCGCTGTCGCCGTCGCCGTCGCCGTCGTCGCCGCCGTCGTCGCCGCCGCCGTCGTCGTCGTCGTCGTCGTCGTCGTCGTCGTCGTCGTCGTCGTCGTCGTCGTCGTCGTCGTCGTCGTCGTCGTCTTCGCCGTCGCCGCCGTCGTCGTCGTCGTCGTCGTCGTCGTCGTCGTCGTCGCCGTCGTCCGCTGAGGCGCTGAGCCCCGCCCCGTAGGAGCACCCGACGGACGCGCCTCCCCCGCCCCTGCCGCGCGAGGGCGGCGGCCCCAGGCCGAGGGAGGAGCCGCCGAGGCGCGGGCACGCGGGCCGCGCCGTCTGCGCGGGTGGCGTAGCTGCCCTCGGGGACGTCGTAGAGCACTGGGTCGTAGCCCCAGTTGAAGGCGTCGGTGTCCTTTTGCGGCGGGGGGGCGGCGAGGAGAGGGGGACCATGTTTGCCTGCAACTTGCCCGCGAGGAGCCCCAGGACAGGCCCGAGAGGCCCCAGGACAGGCCCGAGATGGGCCACAGAGCGGGAGCGGGAGGCCCTGCAGGGCGCTCGAACACGGTCCAGATGGCCCACAGAGGGGAAAGGGGGGGGGGGGGGCCCGCGGTCTTCGAGGCGGCGTGCCGGAGATGCCCAGGTCGGCTGAGGAACGGCCGCCGGGGAGCCGAGCCACGTCTGAAAGCCAAGGGGCGCAGCGATGGGGGGGGCCAGCTCTCAAGGGGGGGAGGCATGGACCTGGCATGGGCGACGCGTCGCTGCAGGTCGGCGACAGGCCCTCGATGGCAAGTCCGCGCGCTGCTGGGCAGGACAGGGCTCTCGGTACACCTTCGGCGACGAGTGGTCGGTAGGGTCGATGCATCCCGCCCTGAGCCTAACCCCAGGAAGCATTTAAGACCCCCCCCCTCCGGCAAATCGATAACCCTTCCGCACCCTGGAAGCGTTACCTGGCACCAGGAGCCCTCCTTTGTGTCCGGGTGCTGAAGCTATCGTTCGGTTATTTCGGCCCCTCGGAATATCGAATAAAAAATGCGGTGCTACGATATCGCCGGGGAGGTTCTTAAATGCTTCCTGGGGTTATCCGCCCTGACGCTGCCCTCGATGGCTTGCCATCGTTCGGACGTCCAGCCCCCTCGAGGTGGCCCAGGATGCTCCGAGATGGTGCACCTCTGCTGGGCGCGGGCCTCGCCCGAAAAAAAAGATGCACACGCCGGAACGATGCCGAACTTGGCGCCGCACTGCCGAGCCCCCTCGCGGCGCTGACGGCAGTCCCGACCGCGGGTGCTTCTCCGCGTTCGGGCCCTTGCACGGCCTCGGGGCCGTCAAACATCGGTTCAAGATAGCTTCCCAAACAAAAACGAAAACGTTTTTTGGGAAGGGGCATTGACCTCTGGGGGTCAACGCCATGAGGAAACACGGGGTTCGGGGCCCGGGCGCTGCGCTCTTACCCTGACCCCCATCGACGCAGATCCGAATTTAGAAGGTGACTGCCAGCGGGGGCTCCAAAACAATTTGACTGTGGTCCATTCTGCGTGGTGCAACCTGTGCGCGCGCCCCCCTTTTTATAGGGCGCTGAGACAAGAAGAGTAAGCACAATATAAAAAAAACAGACGTCGCAACTAAGCAAGCATCATGGCAAAGCACCAGCCACAGGGCGACACCGAATACGGCACCAAGGCGAAATCGAGAAGTCGCAACGACCAAGGCAACGTAGGGTCGCAGCCATAGAGCGCCGTCAATAGGGCACCAGGGCCGCGCATGACAAGACACACCCACTAAGGCAGCATAGGGCACCAGCAATCATGTACCGCGCACCCAGCACCGAGGAGAGATAGAAAGAACGCAGCAACAACGTCATCATAGCCACTGAAAGAGATCAAGTTCACCCCCTGCGTTATCGCTGACACCGAACCAAAAATAAGCAAATAATTGGCAGCAGCGGTTTGCAAACGGCATCTTCAGCACCGCACCATACCGCAACAAAAAAAATCATTCCCCCCCCCTGCGATCGACATCGATAGTATGGATTGGCGGTAGGAACGCAAGACCCTTGAACGACAAAGACGGCGAACTGCCAACACCCGAAAGGCTGGCCAATGAAAACCGCGAAAGATTATGATAACTATGATGATGATCTACACCTGTGGCGCTGAACCTCTGTGGCGCTGAACTCACTGAAAACGTGTTGGAGACTGCCCGAGAACGCTCTTGAAAAATCGCGAACTTAACGGCACACCCGCGAAGAAGCGCCAGAATGAGCTGAGCTGAGCTCACAATGAGTTCGCCTCGCCGCTCAGCGCGCGCGTGATCTGACGCCACCACTCTCGCACCGACTTCGCCAACGCACGCTTTCGCCAAGTTCCAAGATTGCTGGGGACTCCAGAAGAGTGCTGAGCAACGGCCAAGTGCCAGGATGCCAAGATAACGCTTCCGGTTCCTGGGTGCGTTATCGTTTCACCGGAATGGGAGGGGTATGAATTGCTTCCCTGGATTAGCCATGGAGCACCCGCCGTGGAGCATCACCCAATGGCGCAGCAAGGCAAGACATCGAAATCGTAACCATGCAGGCATCATAGGGCACCTGACAAAAAAGAACGACACACGGAGTACCAATGCAAGGACGACCAATCGCGACTGGCACATCAGGGCGCCAACCATAGACCACCACTCATCGTGCGGCAAGCCAAAAAGAGCAATCACAACCACCTGGTCACCAGAAAGAGCACCGCCATACGGCACCAAGGAATAAACGAGAAATCGCAACTATTACGCGGCATCATGGGGCACCAGCCGTGGAGCACGCCCATGGATGGCCAATGTAGCACCAAGGCGAGAACGGGAATTGGCAACCACTAAAGCATCATCGTGCACTAGTCATACAGCACAACCCATGGCATAGTGGTCGCAACCTCTAAAGCGGCATGGGGCACTGGCCATAGATCACTATCCAGCAGGCCTGCTGGCAAGAACAAGACATCGTAGCGACTCAGACATCATAGGACACGGGCCCTCCACCCATATGGCACCACAGGAAGGCAGAGAAATCGCAAGCGCCCCCCTGAAGTGCCACTTTGTGGGGCTGGTCCGACGTGGGCCCGCTCACCCTCCTGGCCTCCCCATCCTCCTCCTCCACCTCCTCCCCCTTCTTCTCCACAAGATGGCGCAACGTGTGTAGAATCGAATACCCCTTGCCTGTTCTGAATTAAGCCGGCCTGTTGCCCGTCCTTACTCCTTCTCGTCCTCCTCCTCCTCCTCCTCCTCCTCCTCCTCCTCCTCCTCCTCCTCCTCCTCTCTCTCTCTCGATCGGCTTTTGTGTCGTCCTGACGCGGCATCCTCCTCCTGCTCTCCTCCCGCCTCCCCTCCCCCTCCTCCTCCTCCTCCTCCTCCCCTCCTCCTCCTCCTCCTCCTCCTCCTCCTCCTCCTCCTCCTCCTCCTCCTCCTCCTCCTCCTCCTCCCTCTGCCTGCTCTGCCGCAGCCTCGGACGAGGGGAAGGGGGAGGGGACGCCTGCACCAGACCTGGCCAGACGCATCACAAGCCCAGGATCGGCGCTGTCCTGGCTTGGGCAGGGGCGCACGTGCGGCAAATTCGCGTCGTGCCAACTTCGGCGTTGGTTTCTGAAGCCGCGTGGATCAATCAACCTGGAACGATCGCGGCCCTCCGGTAGCGCAGATCGGTCGTCATCGGCCGATTCTGGGCCACTGGCGGCGTTTGACCTTGCACGCCCGCGCTGGGATTGCCGCCGCGTGATCGCGGCGAGAACGCGCCGTGCACACCGATCCGTGGCCGACAATAGGAACTAGGACACAATAACACCCGTCAAGAACACGAGACCCCCCGCCGGCCAAGACGCCCCAAGCAACGAGTTGACTCGAGGGCGCTCTCCCCCGGGATGCACAAGAAAATGTGGGCACCCTCCCCGAACCGACCTCGATCTTCAGAGGCCTACTAGTTGGGGTCTGAGTAGATGTCGCGCCACATCGCCGATACATCGACGATGCATCGGCGACGCATCGGCGATGCACCGGCGATGCATCGTCGACGTGGGCGATGCATCGGCGACCTCGCCGTACCGCAAATCGAGCGATCGACATCTGGCCGCATCGGCGGCGCGTCGGCGACGCGGCGCGCTCCTCCGACCCCATCTACTCGGACCCCATCTGGGAGGCCCAGTATCTGGGAAGAGGAGGAGGAGGAGGAAGAGGAGGAGGAGGAGGAGGAGGAGGAGGAGGAGGAGGAGGAGGAGGAGGGAGGAGGAGGAGGAGGCGGAGGAGGAGGAGGAGGAAGAGGAGGAGGGGAAGAGGAAGGGAGAGGAGGAGGAGGAGGAGGAGGAGGAGGAGGAGGAGGAAGGAGAGGAGGAGGAGGAGGAGGGAGGAGGAGAGGAGGAGGAGAGGAGGAGGAGGAGGAGGAGGAGGAGGAGGAGGAGGAGGCCGACCGTTCGATCCGACTGGTGCACGTGCGTACTCCGCCGGTGCCCTCTGATCTCGGCGGACGCCGGCGGAGTTCGACCCGCAACGCCCACGCGGGGGGTTTTGCCGCCGCGTCGGCGCGGCGCGGACCTGCCGCAGACATCGATCCGCGCCCTGCAGCAGGAGCTAGGACAGAATACCATGAAGTCGGCCCGAGTCGCGAGAGAGCTTAAGCGCCAGGTGGGCACCTCAAGAGCCCACGGGCCGGCGCTAACACTTACCATCGCCTGTTGAAAAAGATCGTGCGCCCATCATCCACAGGAACAGAATACCATGAAGTCGGGCCTGTCCCCCGCCAGTCCGATCTTGGACGAAGAATTAGAAAGACCCAAGAAGTAAACTAAAAATGTGCCAAAATGGCCAAAAAATAATCCCCAGACTATTGTTTGACTATTTTTAATTATTCCCCCCGTAGAGGGACAGGCCCGACTTAAGAATACCATCCTTCAAGAACACGAGACCCTCCGCCGGCGAAAAACACCCCAAACCATGAGATCCCTCGAGGGCACTCTCCCCCGGGATGCACAAGCGCACCACTCGAACCCGAAGAAAATGTGGACACCCTCCTCGAACCGACCTCCACCTCATAACAGAAGAAACGAAACGGCATACACATCAACTTGAGGCGTTCCGCGCGCATTTCTTGGATCTGCGCTGGACCCCCCTCCCTGGCGGAGCGCGCCAGGGGCGGCGCTGGAGGCGGCGCTGGGGGGGCCCAGCGAAGATCCAAGAAATCCGCGCGGAGCGCTTGAAGTTCATGTTTGTGCCGTTCGCTCTTCTTCTGTCACAATACCAGAGGGCAGAAAACCCACCCCCATAAGAAGCACCCCGACCGGCGAAGCCGTCTAGCAAAAGCATCCGGGGAAGGAGTCGAAGAGGGAAAGGCTGCTTCGTAAATGCCCAGGGCCGTTTCTGGTACAAAAGCCACTCGTCGGGGTCTGGGTGGCCTGTCCTCTCGCGAAATACCGTCGGGGCGTTGACCTAAGGAACCCAAAATAAGGAACGAGGCCCCTTTTCTCCAGAAGTTCAACTTCGATCTCCCATCGAAAATCCAAGGATTACCTTTGGCAAAATGTGAAACAATGAAGGAACACGGAGCCCCTCCCCAATGAAAAGGGTTCCTTATTCAGAGCCCCGACTGTACCTCGGGCCGAGCGTGCGACTGGCGGGCGCAAGGTGCGCACTCCGCCGCGGCCCCCCCTGAGCTCGGCGGATCCGAGGGCGGCGGCCTCCCCGCCCGGGGCCGCATCTTTGAGAGGCCTGGACATGGGCACCCACGCCAACACAGGGGGTATGCCTCCACAGGGGGAAGAATCATCCTCGATCTCGGTGCTGGTGGTCACATGTCGGCCACCTCGGAGGAAGCCAGAATACCACCACCATCCCCGAGATCGGGATCGTCTTCGCTCAGTGGCGGCACACCGCCGATATTTTGGGCGCCCGAGTTATCCGGGGTAACTCGGGTCCGGGGAAACTCGGGTTTGGATTCCCGAAAAAGGAACCCGAGATAGCCCTGACCCGAGTTACCCCTGATGATGTGGGGCTCTGGACGCCCGAGTTATCCAGGGTAACTCGGGCCCGGGGTAACTCGGGTTCGGATTCCCGAAAAAGGAACCCGAGTTATCCCTGACCCGAGTTACCCCGAATGATTCGGGGCTCTGACGACATCTCCTTCGCCGCCTCGACGGCCGCCTGCTGCAGCTCCGAGGCGGGGCCGGCGCCGGCGGGCACCTCGGGCTCGCGGCGGTCCTCCGCCGCTCGTGCGGGCGCGGGGGGGGGGGGGGCTCTCTCGCGCTCCCACGCGGGCGCTCGCGTGGAGGTGGCCTCTGGCTGGAGGCGCCCGCCCCTGGCGCCGCGAGCCTCGAGGAGGAGGAGGAGGAGGACCGAGGCAGGCGACTGCAGGGTGGGCTCGAAGGGAGGAGGGTGGGGACTGTGGGGCGGGCCCGGTTCCCCTTGGGGACCCCTTCGCGCCCTAGTGCAGGTCCAATGCATCGGCGGTCAGTTCTTGTTCCCATCGAGTCTCGGCGCAGATCCAAGTTTATGCATGCGCGGCTTGCTCTTCTCCGTTCGAGTCTCGGCGCCCCCCGAGGAGGGGGGGGGCCGGTCTCCTCGGCGCGCTCCGGCACCGACCCGAAGTCGTACGTCGGCAGCAGCTGCACGTGCGTGACCCCCGCGGCGGCCTTGAGGTGGGAGGAGGTGGAGAAGGGGGAGGAGGAGGAGGAGGAGGAGGGGAGAGGAGGAGGAGGAGGAGGAGAAGGAGGAGGAGGAGGAGAAGGAGGAGGAGAGGAGGGAGGAGGAGGAGGAGGAGGAGAGGAGGAGGAGGAGGAGGGGAGGAGGAGAGGAGGAGAAGGAGGAGGGAGGAGGAGGAGGAGGAGGGGGCAGGAGAGCCCTTCGGGGCCCCCGCGGCGGCCTCTGGCGGCCTCTGGCGGCCTACGGGGAGGTCTTCGGGGGGGGGGGGGGGGCCCTCGCCTCCGTTGGGCGGCCGTCGGGGGCCTTCGGTGGCCGACGGCGGTCGACGGCGGCCAAAGGCGGCCGAAGGCATGTGGAAGCACTCGGCACCGCTCGGTGGCGGCGGCCGCCGA